TGATAATTCACGGCCGCTAATGGCAGCCAAAGGGAGTAAAACACCTCCAAAATACTCCTCACGTCCTCCTTATCCCAGATTCTAGCCCTCTTTAGCATAAAATTTACCCTAGAATCCTAGATCTAGGTTGTATACCTTTCAAAATACTTGAAATCTGGTAACCCTTTTGTTTCCGACGAAAGTCGTATTGAGTAAGTTCTTTTATCTCTTAGTTATTTTTTTTGTTTGGATGTTTTTCCCTTCTTCTTTTTTATGTGTTCGAATATCTTTTTCTCTTCTCTTTGTTCTTCTTTTCCTTTTCATCGAATCCCCCCTTTTGTTGTGTGTGCCTCTCTCCTTTAATCTGCTTGCATGTGATGGTTCGACGAAGACTTGTGCTGATACTGAGAAGATAGGGTATGATTACCCTATTATTGGCTTGTAACAGGGCCGAATTTGTCATGGGATTTCATTTTGGATTTGTTCTTATTTTTATTGGGTTTTTAAACTGATTTGGTTGATTTACTTGATTGGGGTTATTTTTTGTCACTATTGATGATGTCGATAGCTCAGGGAACTTTCGACGACGGCTCACGCTACTGGGGTAATGGACGGTGAAGCACACACGCTGGTCAATGGCTGCTCATTGCTGACAGTGATGGATGGTTGTTATTTAGGGTTAAAACCCTAAGTTTTGGGCGATCTAGAACGTTGGATGGGTCCAGATCCAACGACTAGCGTTGAAGGCGGTGTTAGGTAGAGAAGAAACCCTAATTGGGTTTGGGTTCTCATATTCGGGTATGATCTTGGGCTTCGGGTCGGTTGATTGTAATCGGGTTAGGCCTGTAGGTCTGCTTCCTTCTGGGTCGAGTGGCATTGGGCCCTATTTAGGGTACTGTTGTGTCTGTTTGTAAATGGGTATTTATTGTTGTAACCTGAAAATAATAACAGAAAAATAATATTATTAATAATAATAGTAATAATAATTAAAATAATAATAATAATTAATTAATAATAAACAATTAAAAAGCTAACAAAAATGGGTGTTTATAATATTGACACGTTGATCATATTATTTATTTTATTTAATATTTTCTACTGTTAATAGAGCACCATTATTTTTACTATTTACTTCAAAAAAGAATCCATACATTTGGTAAAAATCTTAAAATCTTTCATATTCAAATACTAATTTCTTCTTAATCATCTCTCAATCTTTGTTCCACTGATGCTTGTAGCCTCAAAAACTCATGGAATTGGTGTGTGGAGTAATTGTAAAGGAACAGAGGCAACCCTGGAGTTATTGCCCGAACTGAATCTCGATAACATGGAGACAATCTTGCATATAATTCATAGCAATAAATACAAAAATATCATTATAATCTTGTTCAGAATTCAAAATCAAATCAAACTCAAACAAGTTTTTGAGAAAGAAAGAAAAAAAAACAGGGTCATAAACGTACCAAAGAGCTATTTCATGAGATTCTCTTCCATGGTATCCTTGTTGCATTCAAAATATAGCCTCTAACAATTCCATGGTATCGTACGCCCTCTAGACCGGGTAATAGGGCGATCTTCGGTGAGTCACCAAAACTTCGATGGTGACTCACCAAAGAGCTTCAATGTGTGCAGCTGGCGTAGTCCTTCTGGATGCTTCTGGCGAGGAGGCGTCATGGTAGCGGCTGGAATGGACCATCTAGAGGCGGCGGTGGCGAGATTATAACCCTAGGGTTATGAAACCATATGGTTTCTACTGGAATCGTCTGGGATGTTGGATCTCTCCAGATCCAACGGTTGAGATCATTGGCAGCTGGAGCTGAGATGTGTGAAACCCTAGATGCATTGGGCCTTCATGGGTTTGGGCCTGGATCAGGTCAACTCGGATTCTGGAATGGGTTGGGCTTCCAGGTTGAAATTATAATCGGGCCTCTGGTTTGTATTTGGGCCTCCGGGTCTGGGCCTATAATATTTGTAATTAGTATTATTTAATAATAATAACATAATAATATAATAATAATAATTATACTAATAATAAAAAATGGGGCAAAAACTTAGTGTCTACAAGCTAATCCTAAAGGCTCATTCGTGTGTTAACAAGAATAGGGCAAATACGAAGAATAAATTCTTACGAGAGTAAAGCATTCACCCTAACTTATTTGGATCGAAGCTCGTGTCTAGAGATCATGTTATGCAAATGCACGTGATGTTTGTGAGGAGGAGCATACAAACCTTAGACTCTAAAGAAAAAGAAAACTCTCAAGAGAGACTTGAACACTGTTGAAAACAAAGATTTAAAAAATTAGTATCACAATAAAAAATGAAGAAATTAAAAAAACCTCAATAAATGGATCATAAGTTAACTATAGACTTGAACTTATAATTTCCACCAAGACGACAATGTATAAGAGACTTACAACCTGACTCTTTAAAAAATAATTATTTTTATTTGGAAAACAATTAATTAATATTTTCAAAAATGATTATGACTTTTATTTGGAAAAATTGGTGATTTTGGATTAATTTGAATGGAGTTGCCATCGACCTTTGGGTTAGGTATGTAGAATACCTAAAAACGTCTTTTAAAACAATTTTAAGGAAAAATCGTTTTTAAGATAAAATTTTGTTTGTGTTTACCAAAGATTCGTTTAAACGAGTTTAGGAGTTGGTTACGTGTGGGGAAGGGTAAGCACCCCCACAATGCCCAAAAACTGGTATTGAATCGCTTACACGTCATAAATGGTGAAAAATATGAATCGAATATAAAGTCAAAATATGATCCATTTATTAAAATTTGATTAACATACTTCGAATTAATTATTTAAAAGAAAATCCTTTTACTCAATAAGAAATTTTGAAATTTGCAATCCTCCATCGGGAAAGCTATCTCAACCATTTCTTATTCGTAAAAGAAAATTCTATCTTCGAATAACGCATATCGAAATAAAAATGAATATTGACATTTACGTAAAATAATATAAATTGCGATTTATAAACATACATTACATTGTTCAACGTGAAATAAAATGAATTAATTAACTAAAATAAAATCCATTTATATCAAGTTTCTTTTCGTTCGAACGTCGTATCGGATTGTATCACTTAGATCAATTGATACTTTCCCCGCCCATTCTACAAATATGTGTTCTTGAAAGTAGTTGAATACCATACAATAGATAAAAAAACATGAAGGAAATAAATATTAAATAAAAATAACAATATACATTTACATACAATAATCATGGATAATATTTACTTAATAATAATACATACATAATGTAAAATATATTCATACATGGGGATTAAAATAAAAATAAATGAACATTACAAATCAAAATGAAATTAAAAAAAAACTTACAAGACTAAAATAGAATTAATAGAAACTTGAAGGACTGAACATTAAATTAAAATAATCCAGAGTCAAGAACAGAATATTAAACATTACATGTAATAGAAATGCAAATAACTCAAAAGCAATATTAGGGACCAAAATGAAATGAGTACAAACATAAAGGACCAAACAATGAGTACAAACATAAAGGACCAAACAATGATTAAACCAAATGCCCAAACAATCACTAAAATAAAATATTTACAAATGTCATGGACAGATTCGAATATCAAAGAAAAATATACAATAAACTAAAACATTGACTAAAGTGATATAAATACAAATCTTGTAACCAGAGTCAAATATTAACAATAATAACAAAGTAAGTAAGAACAAGACTAAAATAAAAATATTGAAACATTACTGCTCAAAATAAAATAAAACAGAACTTCATTAAATGACCAATAATAGGACATTACAAACATGGGGGACCTAAACTGCAATTCTCCCCTAGAAATTAAAAACAAAATGTTGAGATTATAAAACAGGGGGACTAAACAAGCTATTTTCCTCAAAAATCACAAAAACACGTAGAGAAAGGGGATACGAAACTACGTCGTTTCGCTCCTCATATATATATATATATATATATATATATTATTCAAAGGCCAAAAATGGCCTAAACCCTTCATTTGGTTTCGTTTGATACGAAAGAAGAGAAATAGAGTTTTCAGAACTCTCTCAACTCTCTCCTCGAAAGAGAGAAGAAACAATGACCATCAGAAGAGCTCACGACGGAGCTCATGGTGGCCGGAGGTGTCCGGAGAAAACATAAAACCCCCAAAATGATCCTCTTCTTACCCTCAACACAAATGCTAGCTTCCTTTAGCATAAAACCCACTCCTAAGCCTTAGATCTGAAGTTTACCTTTCGATTATTCGAAACTTTCGATGACTTTTGGGATTCTGACTTTTTTAACTCAGGTAAAATCTCTCTCTCTTCCTCTTTTTTCTTTTCTTTCTTTATTGTTTTTGGGTTCTAAATCTCTCGGTTTCTCTTCTCTTTTTTTCAGATATGTTTTTTCTTCAGGTTTTCTCTTCTTCTTCTTTTCTTTTTGTTTTGGTTTTTCTTTCTTCTGGGTTCTCTCTCTCTTTTCTCTAAACCTTGATATCTCACTTTTTCTTCTCTTTTCTCTTTTATTGATGCATGTTGATATTTGATAAATCCCCTCGAGATTTTGGATTGGATTTGTTTTGATATTTTATTTGGGTTTGATATGATTTATGTCAGTTTTTTTACTGTTGATGTATATTTCTCTTCATTGCTGATTAAAGTGGTTGCGTCAGTGGATGGCGACAATGATGATAGTGCTATAAACAAGGTTTAGGGTTTTAGAAACCCTAGGGAGTTGGGTCAGATCATGGGTCTTGTAATTGGGTTGGTAGCTGGGTCATCCGGATTCTAGTTGGGTCTGGGTTGAGTATGTTAGCGGGTGTTGGGCTTGTGTCTATTGGGCCTATATTATTATTATTATAATTAATTATGATCCTCGTTATTCATTTGTTGATAGGTCTCAAATTTCAAGCTCGAGGGGGCGAATCGGTTCAGTCTTAATTTTCTAAGAGGTTATTCTACGTGAAAAGGATGAAGTACAGTTTCAAGGGTAGAGAAGCAAGTTTAAGTGTTAGAAGCAATGGTAAACAAAATGGTTTTAGAGGTGGGAAGCATGATGGTGGCAAGGAGGGCATTATCCAATGAAGCGGTGAAGGCACTAGCTGTTGAAGATGATTTGTGGTGCTTAATAGTGCTGCTTGATCCAGCATAGGGTGGTCCATTTCGGGTAGTGTTTTTGTTTTGAGAACTAATAAAAAGCTGGATCTTATTGTCAGGTTAATTGGTGTTGCTTTCGTGTTGGTGCTAGCACTTTCAGAACCGAGTCTTTTCATATGTGGTGTTAATCAAGTTGAATTTGATCTTTTCATGGATCTTCCTCCTCTTTTGTCGTGCTAGTAGCCATGCTGGGGCTACGCATTGTGGTGTTGTGGCATTGCTTCCTGGTTTTAGTTTTCCGTTCAGTTCTGTGATTTCTATAATCAATTGCTGTCTCAACTCTTTCTCGGTGTTATCTGCAAACAGTCCATTATCTCATGTTTTTTGTACTAATATGCTGGGGTTATGTCTTACCTTCTTTCTAGATTAATAAGTTGTGGTGTTTTGTCTAGTAACCGTTGATAGGCTTATGCTCTTTTTTCTTATATCTAGGAGGTTGTAGCTTGGTTTTGTTCCTTGTTTTGGATGTGTGTTGTTCTTTTGTGTATTTCCTACAGGGGGTAGTAGGTTGCTTCTTTGATGTAGCCTGTTTCGGGCTGTTCTAGTGTGTGTAGTTCCCAGCTGTTGTTCTTGTTGTTGTAGGGTTCATGTTGGACCTTCCTTCCATCCCAAGGTTGACTCTTTTTCCTCTACTTAGGATTAGAGAGGTTTTTTAATGAGATCCTTGGGTTGGTGTACTTTGTGATTTCTAATACAAAGTAACTATTTTTCAAAAAAAAAGAATACTAGTAATTGAAATTTTAGAGATAAAAAAAACATGTAAGTTGTATGTAAATCAGGAATGGTACATAGAGAAAGTTCTTTCCAAGGTCAATATGTAGAGTACTACACCTATTAATACTCCATTAGCAGCTCACTTCATACCTTCATCAACCTTATCTCCACAATTAGATGATTAGCATCTCACTTCATACCTTCATCAACCCTATCTCCGATGAGATTGAGTACATATCACAAGTTTTATATTATAGTATATTGGGACCTCTCCCTTATGTTAATGTTTATTCATATCTAGACTTATCAGATATAGTCAAAGCAGTTAGTATCACATCGAGAATCCTTATAAAAAAAACACTGGAAAATAGTTAAGTGGATCTATATTAAACCTCACATCGTATATAGTTGCATTATCTTATTATCTTTCTTCTTTTTTTTCAATATAGTAGGAATTTTCCTTCTTTATACTTGCTTTTTCTGTCAGTAATTTTCACATAAATTTTGATGTCTTATTTTCTTTTTTTTTTACTATACGATCATTTATACATGTTATTATTGTTGTATAAGAAAATCTTAATTTTTTAAGCATAAAACCTTAATCTTAAACCAGTAGAAAAAGCAACAATCAGACAGAGACATGTTTTTTCTAGTTACTATGCTAATGTTGGTTGGATGGACGGACTTGCTAGCATTACATTAGACATTTCGACAACAGAACAGTCACTTTCTTGGGGCATGCTGATGTTCCCGACTCATCGTAAATTTATAATACAAAAACAAAAACTTGTAATGTCTGAAATTGAAAAGCGTGCTCTTAAAAGTTTAAATTTCTCTACCTATCCATCTGTTCTTTTTTTTTCCCTAGTACGTCTCTACATATATATAACAACGCTTCTCATCATACTAAAAGTAAATTTATTTATTTATTAATGTCAAAGAAAATAATCTGTTTAAGACTGGTATTATTAGTAAGTTCACCTCCAAATTTCATTCATCACTCTCCAAATTTCGTTATATAGAGACTACAATTAGTTACTAACAATTTGTATACTTTTTGAAAAATTTCTACACCAAAAATGAGAGTGTAGGTTACTTTTTTATAGATCTCCTTCCTAGAGATTTTTTTATTTAATTATAATTATCTGATTTATTGATGGACTATTCGGGATGAAATTTTACAAGATCAATCGTAAATGTGACGCTCTCAATTCAGTTTTCTTAATTCATAAATATTGTAATTCAAATTTCTAACCTAATTAAGACATTTGATGTTTTCATCTTAATAGATTAACCGATTGTTGATTAACAATGTTTTTTTTCAATGAAAGAATCAAATCATGGTAAATGGGGATTTTTCAGTCATTGTCAAAGTTTCTTAAACCATTTGTAACAGTCTTTTTGCCCTCTTTCTGCCCTGGAGCCAAGTTAAAAAGGGAGAATTCGCAGATTTTATGTTAGGAGGTGATTTTTTTTAAAATTTTAAGATAATAAAATTTTATGAATAAAAATATATTATTTAAAATTTATATAATTTTTGTATCAAAATAATATGTTATTAGAAAATACAAAAGGTTATTTAAAATATATGAACATTTAAAATTTTAAACGGTTACTGTTTCCGTTAACCGTTTGGTCCATTCCAGAATATCATATTCTTTGATGACCCTTTAAACAAATGAAAATTTTTAGAGAAAACATAATTGTATTGATTATTTTTAGAGAAATGATAATTTTTAGAGAAAACATAATTGTATTGATAAACAGCAAAATTAACATTCTCATCTTAGTATTTTTTCAATGGTATAGAATGATTACAAGGTAGTATTTATTTAAAATATTTTTTAGTCATTGACAATGTATATATACCCAACAGAAACAGATCCTCAAATTTAGGATCAATTTAAAATTTCTAAAAGAATAGCACTCCTTTTTATCATTGATATCGCTAAGTGGTTCAATTATCGTCTTACTGACATTGTTCCTTCCATGTCAATAAGTAATTGAAACGAAGTTTCTCCGCAGGTGAATAATGCAGGCACCACTATAATCAAGCCTTCCGAGGAACAAACTCTGGAAGACTACACAACTGTAATGAGTACCAACGTCGAGGCTCCTTATCATCTCTGTCAACTTGCACATCCTTTCCTAAAAGCATCAGGAAATGGAAGCATTGTGTTCATCTCCTCCGTAGCTGGTTCAATGGCTCTACCTCGATTATCGGCTTATTCGGCATCTAAAACTGCAATTAACCAAATTACTAGGAGCTTGGCATGTGAGTGGCAAAGGATGACATTCGGATAAATACTGTTTTACCGTGGGGTGTTCGAACATCGATAAAAAAACCAGTAAATTACCACTAACATATCCTCAATAAGTAAGCAAAGATATGTTTTTAAGACGTTTAAGATTAATTTCGGTTTCAGGAGGCAGATGCTGCATACGTTGTGGAGTTTCTTAGGCTAATAGGCGGAACGGCAATGCCGAGGATAGTGGAACCAGAAGAGATTTCGTCGATGGTGGCATTCCTTTGCCTTCCAGCTGCCTCATACATCACTGGACAGGTTATTTGTGTCGATGGAGGGTATACAGCAGGTGGCTGTTGGCCATTTCAAAACTTGAGCTTTAATTTATTCAATCCTGGAAATCTATATCATCAAGCTACTAGCATGTATTAGACAAACTTTGTGCAAAAACTAATGGGGTTGAATGAACAGTTTACTTATGTGGATCAAGTGTTTAACTGGAACATTTAGGCTATTATTGCGTGAAAAGTTTTTATCATTTGTTCTCCTTTTATAGGGTTTCTATAAATGTAAGATTAAGCAAAGCTGAGAGAGGAACTGTAATTTCTTCTTTGAACAAAGCACAAACATGAACACGAACAGAACTCAGAGTAGATTAGAGAAACAACAAAGAAGACAAGAAAAATAATTCACATCCTAGAGATCGACTTAAGCTATGAACAAGGGCTTAGGATAGTCATAGGTCATATATACACCCCATGAACACAAGAAAGTGTTACACTGTAGCTCGGGTTGGTTATCCACCGATCTGCCAGACAAGTCGTGCACAAATGTTGAACCCGTACTCTTGCTTGCATGCAGCTTGGTCTTGGTGATATGATCGATCGGGTTCATATAGATGGTTTTTCACCATTAAATCTTCCTTGAAATAAAATTTCTTTGACGCTGTAAAAGCCTCATCAAAGGCCAGAAAATATCTAGTCTATGGAAGCCACTAGAAGTCTGCAAGAAGTTTAAATTGTCTCCATATATATGACATTGTAAACTCCGTTTTTTTTTTTGGGAAAACATGAAACGTATCTGAAACGATTGATACCTCGACAATGACATGTATTGTTTGAACAGCTCTTCATAACACCCTTTAAGATTGTTAAGTTAAAGCTTTGGATCACCTGAGCAGTATCTAGAAACATTCCATGCTCATTACAAAGCATCTGCAGTGGAAGTAGTTGATAAATTTGTTATTAGTTCGAAAACTAATAAGAATAAACATTTAATATTTTCATTTATTTACTACAGAAATTTTCATTGCGCATGCCACTAAGAACTGACCTCTATAAGTGGTCTGGATAAGCAAGATCTTCAACTACGATGGGGCATACTTTCTGTTCAACTCCGATCTCGAAAGCCCAGCTTGTTCCGTTTTGGTAACCATCTTTGGTTTCAGACAGTCATATTCTTGAGATCAGATACCTGTAAATTCAAAATTCCTATTGTCTTTAACTTCATATCATCATAAACTCATGCTAAATTGGAACTACATAACAATTTCACATTTACTCCATGGTTCTCGAATCAAACTTGGAGAAATCAAGCGATCCTAAAAATTTTACCAACAAGGATGATGTGATCATAACCACACAAATGGATCCTAAAGTCATGCCTAAAGGACCTATCACTCGTGCAAGGGCAAAACAATTCAGGGAAGTACTTTCTCATAAGTGCATTAATGCTTTTAAATCTTTTAATGAGAAAGAACCATTAGATAATAGGTTGTTTAATATATTACATATTGATTATTAAATAACCTATAGTACACATCTTTATCCTATACACATTAATATAGTTCATATACTAATTATTCTTTATGTTATGTAGGTACATTCGACCACAACTTGGGAGCTATCTTGGAGCTAAATGGACAAAGCAAAGGCAAGGAAACTCACATGAGGACGTTTAGGAGAGCATAAAGAACATTTGGTGAAAAGTTGTCCGGAGACCCATGAGTTCATATCTGGATTGAGCTGAAGATTTGAGCTACAAGATGACTTCAATTCAGCTGGGGAGCTGCACCATCATCATCATCACTTAGGACACTTCAAATATGTCCTAAGTCAAATTTTGTGAAATCGTACCTTTTCGCGAATAGTTGCCACCTCAAGAGGTACCTTTTTCACAAGGAGTTGCCATAATGTTCATCATGCTACAACTCACCTATGGCCAGCTCAACTCCAGCTCATTCACCCTAGAACAAGCTCAAACATGAAAGGTTACCTTCCAACCATTGTGACCTTTCATGAATGATTCTGCCCATGAAGGTGCCCTTTCATCAAGGTACACGTTGGTGAAGAGTTTACATCCATTGGAGGTCTAAATCATGAAGGGACATGAGACAAAGCACCATGCATATTCGGCCACAATCCATATGCCTTGCACATGAGAGCTTGGGCGCCAAAATGAATCAGCACATCATCATTTGGCCAAGGGAGATGTATCGTCATCCTTGCCGAAACATCATGATCCCTTTGAAGAGGTAGGCAAACCATCACCAAGCTAAGGGAGTTCTCCTTTCATTTTAAAGCATTATGTACTTTCATAAGAGTCATGCATCTAGCCGAATCATTAGGAGACTATTTGGCCAATCCCTCTCATTTCCTATGAACTGAGAGGTTTGCCTTCATTTGTAATGATCTCATTTCATAATATAAACAAACCTTTGTGAGTTAATTCTCTCTTCAAAGTTCTTTGTGAACTTTATCGATTAAGCAAGTATATTTCTTATACTTGTGGTGTCATTCCTTCACCTTGATTCCTAAATTCCTAGATTTTATATCTAGTGGGTTGAAGACACTATCACCACCCCTCAAGCAAGTTTGTGAAGATCGGGATTGTGTTTTCTAGCATAATTTCTTCTTTGGCGTGTTTGAGATACAACATCAACACCATCTTCCATTTCAACATCAACACCATCAACCATCTTTCATCAAGGCCACCAACATCTTCATTATAATTCCGCAACCATCTCTTTCTTATTTTATTCCATTAATTATTTACTTATCCATATCTATTTCCATTTCTAATTCAATCTCTTTATTATCTTTTTCGCAGCCATACTTATAACTCAAGGACATCAGTACTTTTCAATCCTAGATCGGGACAACAATAAGACTATCTACTCATTTCTATTGAAGAGTGTATAATCTGCCTACATCAAGCAGTATTCAGAACATAGTTGGATTGACAACAAAAATGTCATTGGCGTGCAAAGACAAAAGTAAAAAGAAAAAGAAGTTAAAAAATCAAGGCTCCTACAACAACAAAAAGAATTAAAAAAACAAAAATCAGAAAAGAAAGAAAAAAGAATTTCAATCAAAAAAAGAAAAACAAAGCCAAGGAAAAGTGCTTTACCATTACAAGTACATCAAGGAGGCATATCTACACTAGAGAAGATAACCTTATTGTTTCTTGTGAAAGGGTGCAGTAAGTGTTGTTTCTTGGGTTGTAAGTCACCTCTTCTTTTCTATACTTTCATATTCCTTATCTTCAACCTTTTCCTTCTTTTTCATTACCCTTTTAAATCTTTTATTCTACTTTTTCATTTATTCTTTTCCTTTCTACCCTAACCTATTTTGCAGCCGACGCACACAAGAAGAGAAATAACTTGTTCTAATCTTTAGTAAGTTCTTCAAAGGACTTAGCAAAAGAGATCGAGTGGAAAAAGGATTATTGAGTGAGTGAGATCAGAAGGGGAATTGTAAAAACCAAATCATATTCCCGAGAGTAAACACGAGTGTTGAGTGGAGTGATCATAACTCTTCTTTGGAGCAAAATTTGTGAGACTTTGTGAGTGTGACGATAAGGTTTACTTTTGTTTTATTTGTTTACTAACAATGTCTCAAGTTTCAGGATAAGTTTTGGTAGTAAAAAGAGCTTTGAATATCCAATCCATGGAGGATAATCAAAGAGAGAACATTTTTCACACTCGTTGTCATGTAAACAACAAATTTTGTTTCATGATTATCGATGGAGGAAGTTGTACCAATGTTGCAAGCATTTTAATGGTGGCTAAACTCGAACTCAAGACGATTAAACACTCTACACCATACAAGTTACAATGGCTAAATGATGAAGGAGAAGTTAAGGTCACCAAACAAGTCAACATTTCCTTTTCGATTGGAAAATACCAAGACCAATTTCTTTGTGATGTTGTTCCAATGAATGCGTGCCATATAATCCTAGGGAGGCCTCTGTCCATGATGGTTTTACAAACCGGTATTCTTTCTATCACAATGAAAAAAAATTCATCTTGACTCCACTTTCACCAAACCAAGTATCTGAAGATCAAGACGCTTTGAAGAAGAGCATTGAAACTTTCAAATCCATTAAGGAGGATGAACCAACAAAGATGAACATATATGCTGGAGGGAAAGACATTAGGAAACATTTGTTATCCTACAAAGCTCTAATTGTACTTAGGTACAAGGAAAGCTTTCTTTTGACTACCATTCTAGAAGGCTTGCCTTCTTCTATTTCATTTTTATTGCAGGAATTCGATGACTTGTTCCAAGAAGACATTCCTAGTGGATTACCACCTATTAGAGGATTCCGGTGCAACCATTCCAAATCGACCAGCATATAGAAGTAATCCCGAAGAGACTAAAGAACTTCAAAGACAAGTTGAAGAATTGATGAACAAGGGATACATACGAGAAATCTTAAGTCCATGTGTTGTTCCGGTGTTACTTGTACCCAAAAAGGATGGTTCATGGAGAATGTGTATAGACTGCCGTGCTATCAATCAAATTACCATCAAGTACTGGCATCTTATACCAAGACTTGATGATATGTTGGACGAATTGAGTGAAGCCACTATGTTCTCCAAAATTGATCTAAAGAGTGGATATCATCAAAACAGAATGCGAGAAAGAGATGAATGGAAGACCCCATTCAAGACAAAGAAAGGCTTGTATGAATGGATGGTGATGCCTTTCGGTTTAACCAATTCTCCAAGCACTTTCATGAGGTTAATGAATCATGTACTTCGTCCATTCATTGGTAAGTTTTGTGTGGTTTATTTTCATGATATTCTGATTTATAGCCATGACTTGGAAACACATGTGCAACATTTGAGGTATGTTCTTGAAACCCTTCAAAAGGAAAAACTCTGCTAATATGAAGAAATGTGTCTTTTCCACTAACAGTTTATCCTTCTTAGGCTTTATTGTAAGTTCACAGGGACTTGAAGTTGACCCTGAAAAGATTAAATCCATTAAAGAGTGGCCAACGACCACTTCAATCAGTCAAGTCAGAAGTTTCCATGGTCTTGCAAGTTTTTATAGAAGGTTTGTGCCTAATTTCAGTTATATTGTCGCCTCCTTAACAGGGATCATTAAAAATAATTTTATCTTTTCATGGGGAAAAGAACAAGAAGA